TTTCGAGGGGGAAAACCGCAGCCCGAACAAGCTCGCATTGTTGCGTAGGGTAGTCAGAAGACTCTGCATTTTGTCAGCGCCTTCACCAAGTAGGACTATGTCATCGGCAGATTGTAAGTCAATAAGCAAGCCACCTGGTAAAAGGTCTACTCCTGAAAATTCAGACAAGGATAATGTTATTTCTAGGAGCATGTCTATGATAAATTTAAACAAGAATGGAGTGGATATCCCTGACGCACACCACTTGGAGTAAAGAATTCCGTTGACAGTTCGCCATAAGCTCTCGCTCGACCAGTGGTGTTCAAGTAGAGAGCTTGTATAAGGCTAATATACTTCTTTGGTATACCTTTCAATGACAGACACTGACACAGAACCTCACGATCTACCGAGTCAAATGCCGCTTTTAGATTCAGGAAAACAACTATTGTAGGACGCCTAAATATGTGTCTATGTTCCAGGACCTGTCGTAGTGTGAAGACGTGGTCTATACAGCTACGTCCAGGTCGAAAACCAGACTGGTTTTCTCGAGTTTACTCTTGGTAATGTTTACTAAAACATTTAACGCCTATAAGTTAAGGATGTTTACATATACGTACACGTTCTCAAACAAACCAATAATAAATAACATCAACAAATTTTCTAAAAAATATTTAGTCGATTAAATTCAAATAAAACCAAGCTGCTTTCTAGTCACATCTCATGGAAATCTATAAGTGGGTAGGGAGGGTTGTTGCAGAAAACAAGCCCTCAAGACTAGTTAGGGGATTTTTATTGATCTACAAAATGCTCATATCTACCTGTCTATCACAATCTCACTCTATATAAAATGACGACAACAACATTCTTATGAGGCGTTTTTCTCCCCCCCCCTCCATACTCAAAACTGCATCCTAGCATCACTATAACAACTAACTATATGACCGTAGCAGTAGTAGTAGTAGTAACGGGTGAGTATGATTGGTTGAAAATGATTTTCATAAGATGAGTGTGAAACAAACAGTTAGTAGTGATAACTACGCATATAAGAGAGGTAGTGGTGGTGTGTAATACTCACACGGAAAAACGAAAAAATGGATTTGTGACCAAAAGGAACAGAATTCGTCAAATTGAGAACAGATTAAAATCGAAGATTTCGTAATAATAAGAATTTTTTATTAAAGACAAAACAGCAATTAGAAAAATTTTAGTTCTCATAAAATAAACTTTAGCTTTGAATATTGAACGATTTTGAATGCAGTCAAATGAAACACACATTGTAAAAATAGGTTAGAGAAGTAAGGGAGAATTGAAAAATATACACAGTTTACTTACTTACTTACTTACTTACTTACGCCTGTTACCCCCAATGGAGCATAGGCCGCTCACCAGTTTTCTCCAACCAACTCTATTCTGGGCTTGCCTCTCCAGTTCTGTCCAATGTTTGTTCATTCCTCTCATATCTGCCAACATTTCTCGGCGTAATGTGTTCCTTCGCCTTCCTCTTTTCCTTTTGCCTTGAGGGTTCCATGTGAGGGCTTATCTCGTGACGCAGTTAGGTGCTTTTCGTAATGTGTGTCCTATCCACTAACTCCACCGCTTCTTCCTCATTTCCTCCTTCACTGGAATCTGGTTTGTTCTCTCCCATCAGCAACAACGTACTGTGGGAGAGAACAAACCAGATTCCAGTGGAGGAGGAAATGAGGAAGAAGCGGTGGAAGTGGATAGGACACACATTACGAAAAGCACCTAACTGCGTCACGAGATAAGCCCTCACATGGAACCCTCAAGGCAAAAGGAAAAGAGGAAGGCGAAGGAACACATTACGCCGAGAAATGTTGGCAGATATGAGAGGAATGAACAAACATTGGACAGAACTGGAGAGGGAAGCCCAGGACAGAGTTGGTTGGAGAAAACCAAAAATAAGTTTCAATCGATATTGAAACCCAATAGTTTTCTCCTCCTAAACCGCTGAACTCTCTATGATCCCTAGGTCACCTTATCCATGAGGTTGCGCGATTAACGAACAGGTAAAAACCTAAAACATAAACATTTTTCATACTACCATGATATGCCATAAACTGATCAAATCTTTTCACCTGGTTAGTCAATCAATCAATCAGTTACAACATAGAACATTGTATTTACATACATCAGTTCACGTTGCCATATTTACTTCAAATCTCATAATAGTAGAAGTAGTAAAAGTAGTAGTGGTAATGGAGAAGATTATGTCCCAACATTTCTCAACCACTTCAACTGATGAAGTTTCAATACTTCATCTATTGATCTGCCATCCTTATCTAGGACCCATTTCCTAACAACAACATTGCTTACTCGATAGTCCCAAGATAAACGAGCAATGCTTCGGAGACACCTATGATCGAAAACCAGTAACCTACGAATATCCTCTACTCCCACCGGTCATGTTTCGTATCCTTAGAGTTGGGACGTTGAGAACTGCTTAGCAGATGGATATCTCGCCTACGGTATAGATAACGCAAGTTGGCGAAAGCTAATCGAGTCTTCTGTATCCATGCTGAGATTTCGTGAGTCACCAGATCATCAGCACTGATAAGACATAGATTTAATATGAAATAGATAGAATGTGGATAGTCAACTAAGAATGACCGAATTGTTGAATGTTCATCATGAATGTCCATGATGTTAACTATCTTCATCCTTATTATGACCTGTTAACCTTAATTTTCGTATGTGATAGGTTTTTTCTTTTTTCTACAAAGAGTTCAACTCTTCAAAGTGGGTCATTTTTTTTCTAACTAGTCACTCAAAACTATTGTTACAAAGAGTGAAAAGTGATTGACAGGACATATGTATGTTATATGAAAGACAATGAACTGAGGAAACTTTATTTTACAAACAATAAGAATACATCTGCCTATACTTTCATATTAGTCCATACTGTTTATCTAATGGTATTTCTGTCAAGTTTATATATATATATATATATATATATATATATATATATATATATATATATATATACATCTATTTTATATAAATCTGTCTTACCAGTGCTGATGATCTGGTGACTCACGAAATCTCAACACGGATACAGAAGGCTTGATTGGCTTTTGCCAACTAGCGTCATCTATGCCGTAGGCGAGCTATCCATCTGCTAAGCAGTTCTCACCGTCCCAACTCTATGGATGCGAAACATGACCGGTGGGAGTAGAGGAATTTCGTAGGCTACTAGTCTTCGATCATTGATGTCTCCAAAGCACTGCTTGTGTATCCTGGGACAACCGTATAATCAATGGAGTCGTTAGGAAACGGGTCCTAGGTAGAGATGGCAGATCAATAGATGAAGTATTGAAACTTCATTAGTTGAAGTGGTCGGGAAATGTGTTACATATGCCCAACCACCGACTGCCTTGTCGAGCTATGTGGCTCTTTATTTAGAACAAATCAATGTAGTCAAAAAAATTTATGTTCCGACAAAGACTGTACTGCTTTAGCATTTTTAATTTGGTGGTTAAACCTTTCGATTATCTTATTTAAACCAAGTCATTCTGTATAGCAACAACTTATATGTACCATTGGCTGTTTTATTATTGTCTGGTTTGCATGAGCTGATGGTACAGTCAGTCAGTCAGATGTAACATAGAACTTCGTACGTATGTGTACATAAGTTCATGTAGCCATACCACATTATTAACACAGAGACGCAAATGTCAAATCAAATCCCATAGTGATAAAGATAGTAGAGATATTAATGGTCATGAAGAAGACTAGGATTTGAAGATATTATTCAAGAAGTATAATTCAGTGAGTGAGATAAGATTAGAAAGACAGGGGTCGAGGTGCTGACGAATCCAAAAGGTTAGAATTTGAGAGAACACAAAGAATGGATGCACCTGCACCATTGCAAACGATTCTGAGCCATGTCATTCAAGGTCTCTAACCATTGGTGACTATCGTCTCGCGGACCCCAACCAGGTAGTCTACATCTACCAACATGACTCAATCCACTTGTTAATGACTTCATGGATTTATGCCATGTTTTGATCTGGCAGAAATCCATGAGCTGATGGTACGACTGAACATGGCTTACCAACTACACGCACATGCATCCTATTCGCTTTAATCTTAATCTCTTAAATATCTCGAGACTCAGACATTTTCCTATGTATGTATATCTGAACATTTTAATCTTATTAATTCATTCATCAATTCGATCGCTCTCTAACGTATTTGTCCTTCTCTGTGTACTTGTAGTCTACTGACTCGACGACCTTTGTTTTGTGGTGTAGGAGTAGGTCGGAAGAAAGTTAGGGGCGGCCAAACCAAAACATGGCAGAAATGCATGAAGTCATTGGCGAGTGGACTTAGCCATGTCGGTAATTGTCGACTACCTGGTTGGGGTCCGCGAGATGATAATAATCGATGGTTAGAGACCTTGAATGACATGGCTCAAAATCGTTTGCAATGGTGCAGGTGCATTTATTCTTTGTGTTCTCTCGAATCCTAATCTTCTGGATTCTTCAACCCCTCTAGTTTCGACTCTCTAAACTTTTCTCACTGAATTATACTTCTTGAATAATATCTTCTAACCCTAACCTCTTCGATTACTTCTAATTCCTTTACTACCTCTACTACTATTGGATTTGAATTGACAATTATATCTCTATGCTGATGTGGTATGGCAACATGAACTGATGTACTTACGTACCAAGTTCTACGTTGCATATGACTGACTATGACTTACTGGTCCATTTGTGATGTGTCAAAAATAAACGTACTCAACACTCCGCGTTCACCTTCTGATTTATAAACCTATCAGGTACTATTTAATAACGAATGTCTGGATGAGCAGTATACAAACTCTAAGAACATGTTGGATATCGACCATCACAAAACTAGTAATACATTGGCCACACTATAAACCAAACACATCTTTAATCAATTTACAAAATAATTCACATCAAATTTGTATAAAATGGATATTAACAAAGAGAAAAGCAGATATATTGTTTTAAAAAAATAAACTTCATTAAACTAACCTTCATAACAATCTCGTACAGAATCAAAATACACATAATAATCTTCATGTTTTAAAAATAATAAACTTAACCATGATTCAAATGCATAAATTGGTACATAGAATAATATTCGTACAACCCATCTTTGTTCATTTGGACAAGTATAATTAATAAGATGTAAATAAATCTATGTTTAAAAATAAATGATCATAAAATGAAACAAAAAAAAAGTTAATAAGTTTATGCAAGAAAAAAAAAATAATTATTTATTCTTTATTAATAAATGAATTCATAAAAACAGATTAATTACGTCCGATTTGAAGGTCAGTTGCAACGTAAGAACTACGTACGTATGTGTACATAAATAAGTTCATGTTGCCATACCATAGTATAGCACACAGAGACGCAAATGTCAAATCAAATCCCATAGTGATAAAGATAGAATGGGGTATTAATGATAATGAAGAAGACTAGTAGGGTTTGAAGATATTATTCAAGAAGTATAATTCAGTGAGTGAGATAAGGTTAGAAAGAGAAAGATCGAGGTGATTAGGAATTCGGAAGGTTAGGATTTGAGAGAGCACAAAGAATGGATACACCTGCGCCATTGCAAACGGTTTTGAGTCATGTCATCCACCATCTCTAAGCATCGATTATTATCATCTCGCGGACCCCAACCAGGTAGTCTACATTTACCAACACGAATCAGTCCACTTGTCAGTGACTTTCTGGATTTCTGCCATGTTTTGGTTTGGCCGCCCCTAGCTTTCTTCCAACCTACTCCTACACCACAAAACACTGCTCGTCGAGGCAGTCGGTGGTTAGGCATACGTAACACATGTCCCAACCACTTGAACTGATGAAGTTTCACCACTTCATCAAATTTGAAGGGATCAAAAATTAATTTACTACTAACCGCATTTAATATCTAGTTTCGTATAACTCATCACCTCAACCTCTAGGATCAAGTAACTACTTCAAGATTAAATGAGTGATTTTATTCAGCTAACCTATCCATAGTGCATAAGATAAGATTAGTCAGTCATAGTCAGTCAGTCATATGCAACGTAGAACTTCGTACGTAAGTACATCAGTTCATGTCACCATACCACATCAGCACAAAGACGCAGATGTCAATTCAAATCCAATAGTAGAAGAGGTAGTAAAGGTATTAGAAGTAATCGGAGAGGTTAGGATTAGAAGATATTATTCAAGAAGTATGATTCAATGAGAAAAGTTTAGAAAGTCAAAACTAGAGTTGTTGAAGAACCCAGAAGATTAGGATTTGAGAGAACACAAAGCATAAATGCACTGGCGCCATTGCAAACGGTTTTGAGCCATGTCAATCAGGATCTCCATCCATCGATTACTATCATCTCGCGGACCTCAACCAGGTAGTCGACAACTGCCAGCATGGCTCAGTCCACTCGTCAATGCTTTCATGGATTTCTGCCATGTTTTCGTCTGGTCGCGCTACTAGTTTTCTTCCAACCTACTCCTACACCACAAAACATAGCTCGTCAAGGCAGTCGGTGGTTAAGTATACGTATCACATGACCCAACCACCTCAACTGATGAAGTTTCAGTACTTCATCTACTGACCTGCCATTCTTACCTAGCACCCGATTCCTAATAACAGCGTTGCTCACTCGGGTGTCACAGGATATACGAGCAATGCTTCGAAGACACCTATGATCGAAAACCAGTAACCTACGAATATCTTCTACTCTCACTGGCCATGTTTCACAGCCATAAATAAGATAAGATTAGAATATGCACCTCAATGTTTAAAAAATGGGATGTTCTAACTCCCAATTCACTCTTGTAATTTGAGTCATTAACCAAATACAGATGAATACATTTCACTACAAACCACTTATTTTGTGTAAGAACTAGTAGGGTACTGTTCATTATCTTCAAACGGAATTAAGTTAGGTGGTTTTTTTGGCTTTACAATATGTTATTGTTTCACTTACACATAGCGCCTGTTTTTCCATTTTACAATATGACTATTTCAGATTTAACAGTTGCTTAGCACGTCAGACAGACAGACAGATACAATGCAGAACTTCGTACATAAGTACATCAGTTCAGGTTGCCATACCACATCAGCACAGAGACGCATCTGTCAGTTCAAATACAAGAGTGATAGCGATAGTAGAATTATTAGCAGTAATGAAGAAGATTAGGGAGCAAAGATATGATTCAAAAAGTATAATTCAGTAAGATAAATTTATAAGGAGTAACGTAGAGATTATGAGGAATGCAGAAGCTTAGAATTTCATAGAACACAAAGAGTGGATGCACCTGCGCCATTAAAAACGATTTTGAGCCATGTCGTTCAAGGTCTCTAACCATCGGTGACTATCGTCTCGTGGACCCCAACCAGGTAGCCTACATCTACCAACATGACTCAGTCCACTTGTCAGTGACTTCATGAATTTCTGTCATGTTTTGGTTTGGCCGCCCCTATCTTTCTTCCAATCTACTCCTACACTGCAAAACATAGCTCGTCGAGGCAGTCGGTAGTTAGCCATACGTAACCACTCCATCTTAGTTTCGAATCATTACTTTAGTTAGTTATCACTGCTATTCGTACTAACACTCTCACTGAAGAACAAATGCACATATACAAATGCTATATTTTAATACTGAAAGATCATCATACAAAGACTATTTGTAAAATAGATTTATTACTATTTTCCTATACAATTTCCTTAATAAATTAATGATATTTCCAATATCAGCTGGAAAATTGTTAAAAAATTAGGTGGTACTGTAGGTCGCTGACGGATGGTAGACTGAGGTTACGTGTGAAAACTATCCGATCAGGACTCAGAAGCATACACATATTGTGTCTCCTTCAAACCCTGAAGATCACGAGTCTGCAATGACAGATACGTGCTGTTGAGGATTCAGTAATCGGGACAAGACAGCTTTCTAGTGTTCGTTGATTCTTACTATTCTTCCAAACGACCTCTGTCTGTAGCGTAAATCATCTTCAAACTTAACAAACTGCCATCAATTCATCGCTTATATGTACAATATTTGCTAGATTAGTTTCAAATAATATTTTAACTTGTCCTTTAGTTATTTAGTCATTCAATCATTTCCAACTAAAATATAGACTTGTTTATGTAGATATTTTGATTAAGAAATAAAAATCAGAATATATATGTGTCACCATTTTTTTTACAACATTTCAATTAGAAGCACCGGCTTCTTAATTTTCTTGTATTTCTATCAAAATGAACTCAAAACTATAAATCATGTATGTTTTATGAACATCACAGTAATGGTGGAGAAGACTTGTAGCTCAGGTGGATGATTGTGGTGGTGGTGTGGAGCTCCACAACCAAAACATCCAGCTCAGAGAACCAAACACCACCACCACATTACAGTAAGGATGGAATAAAGCGCCGCTCATGAAATGTATGAATCTGAAAACTCTAAAAACCATTCATATCATTGTAAACTCTAAATTTTTATGTAGCAGTTTCTCGATAGTTCCAAGACTCTGGTACTGTTTTGAAAAGTTCACTTAAGAAGTTTTTAAAATAAAACGAATTATATTAATTAATTTAAAGTGTATTTCCTGAATAATTTCAAGTAATTTCAATTAAAATCGTAGAATTTTATGTACTGGAACAATAAGATCAATAAGTATGTAATATTTTGAAAGTAATTTACAACATACCCCTAGAATTAGTTTTTATGTTTGGCTATTTTTTTCACCTGCAATTCTGAGTGGATTCGAACCCGAGTCATCTAGAATTCTACTTACTTACTTACGCCTGTTACCCCTAATGGGGCATAGGTCGCCCACTAGTATTCTCCAAGCAACTCTGTCCTGGGCTTCACTTCTCAGTTCTGTCCACTTTTGTCCATTCTTCTCATATATTTCTCTGTTTGTGTGTTCCTTGGCCTTCCTCTTTTCCTTTTCTTTGGGTTAGCGTTTTTTTTTGGCAAGTTAGTTTATAGTTGAAATGGGGGCGCCAACCACATGCCCAACCCCCTCCTCCGTTATCCGGCGTTGGGACCGGAAGTAGCCCCAAAGGGTCTACGGGCGGAGTATTTAGAATTCTAACCACTTATTTATTAATCCAGAATTCCTGTATCCAGATTTCAGCCACATTAGTTTTTTTTTCTGAAACTTAGTGATACAATCAACATGTCGAGAACGGAGTATGTAAAATGTAGTCTAAACTATCCATCTACTGGTTGAACATTAATTAGTTGAAACACTAGGACAATGTTCTCCAACTGAACGTACAAACGATTTAATCAAACACACTGATCACTTACTAAAAATCTACTTAGTAGTACTTTTTCTAGTTTTCAAAAAAGTGAGAATATTCTGTTGATCAACACACCAATAATATTTAAATCCATGAAGTTATTGACGAGTGGACTTAGCCATGTCAGTAATTGTCGACTACCTGGTTGGGGTCCGCGAGATGATAATAATCGATGGTTAGAGACCTTGAATGACATGGCTCAAAATCGTTCGCAATGGCGCCGGTGCATTTATTCTTTGTGTTCTCTCAAATCCTAATCTTCTGGGTTCTTCAACACCTTTAGTTGTGACTTTCTAAACTTTTCTCATTGAATCATACTTCTTGAATAATATCTTTTAATCCTAACCTCTCCGATTACTTCTAATACCTTTACTACCTCTTCTACTATTGGATTTGAATTGACAATTATATCTCTGTGCTGATGTGGTATGGCGACTTGAACTGATGTACTTACGTACGAAGTTCTACGTTGCATCATACTGACTGACTGACTGACACCAATATTCCGTAAATAAACACAAAGATAAATAAAGAAAAAACAATATCTCTAGCAAATTTAAATACGAACTATAACTACATATGGAATTACTTTGGTGAGGTCAAGTTAGATAGCCACTCTGTCCATTCACATAAACCTTCATCAGTCAAAGCAGCTATATACACAGTAGCAATATACACAGGTTTCAAATTCAAAGCATTAATTGCGTATATACAAAGTTGCCGACTTTATTGAAGAAAATAGATGGATTATTTAAAATTAACTTATGAAAATAATGCTCATCTGATGGGAGTAATAAAAGTATAGATATTCTCTAAATTTTATAACTATAAGTTAAATATTTCAATTATGTTTTCATTTTGTTATGATAAGAAAACTGATGTAGGGCTCGGAGGTGCTCAACACTTAGATTCATATCTGGTAATAAACATAGAAGTTAGTTTGAATCTGTACAATAACCAATCAGATTCTTACGAACCACAAGGTGTCGGATGGGGGGTCACTCATAGTAAGCTTCCTGTTCGCAATTAGTACGACAATACATTGTTTAAGTCGTTTCGCTAAATTATAATACGGTCATATCCTATTCTTCGGAAACTCAAGTTTCGCCTGAAGTCAACTTCGTTCGTTGAAGGGATGACTTTGTTTAAACGCAATTATTTAACTGTATAGAACTAGAATTATTCGGATCCGTGCAGTGGAAAAAGTCACGTACACCAAAGCCTAGATTGAATATTCTCTAGTCGATAACCTCCTAATTCTGAATGTTTTTGGAGAAAATGATTCTGCTTGCGTGACTTCTTAACATCTTCAAGAAGCCAGCAGTTATGTGCAACATTACTATCATTTACCTGTACGTGAGACGGTGGTTTGGGGTGAAATGAAAACAAATGAGTTGGCAGCAACAGCATTTAAGGCAGATTCAACAAGCTGGCAACCTTTCTGTGAAACTCTATGAGAATATACACATAAATACCAGACTACCAACGTTAATATTTTATTCCGTTATGAAGCCTCCTGACAACCTAAAGTCAATGTCTCTTAATTCTTAGGTCCTAATGTCCTAACTACAAAATACATTAATGGAGAAATTTCTGGATGCTATTCTCAAAAGTATACATAGTCGCCCACAATTCATATCAACAACGACTTTATTGATAGGTACAACTGGTTTAGAAATAGCCAAATTTTGAAATTTTACTCTAAGCGTCTATATTTAACACTCAGTATTAGCCAAATCGCATACATCTATACGCATTTCCAAATCCAAGTTGCTGATAATAAGATACTGAACAAAACCGTCCTAGGGGATTAGATAGATGTTATACTATCGTTTCAAGCAAGTGATATTTAGTCATCAGAACTTGGAGTTTGTAAACAAAAATAATCCTATTTCATTACATCTATACAGATCAATCCATCATGAATACACAAAATACTAGATTTTGAAAACAATTAAAAATTTTTAACAACTTCTAAGCTAAACGTCACGTTCACACATTAAAACTCATAATCAAACTAACTTGATGACAAGTAATGACAATTGCGGTAAATGCAACTAGTCCTGTAAATACTTGAGCCCATTTAGATTCTAAAAACAAAAACTGTTCCGAAACATGCTTCGATGTGTTTCCAATAAGTGTAGTATTTAGCAAGGGAGTAGATTGAGTTCCATCAGGGTATGTCGACATGACTGAAGCTGCTATAATTTGCAGCAGTTTGTGTCCAGCTTGAAGATGTTTTGAGTAATAGGGGGAGCGGTGTGATTAGCGTCCGTGACGAGAGCTGGGAAGAAGAGTGAACGGGAATTTGAGCGAAACTTGTGAAATTAACTCACATTTAATGATCAAAATAATGGATATCAAGAACAATATCGGAAGAATTCGATAATCGCAACTAGCAATGATGACATGGAGATGCGGACTTGACACTACACCAGCCCTACCAGTATGTTTAAAACTCCGCCAAATCAGATCCTGCAAATACCGAGGTAAATATGAAGTACTACAACAAAATCTTGTGACATTTTGATGACAAGCTAGATGTTGTTCTAAGTGGTTTACAGTGATGCGTGAGAAGCTCACCTATATAAAAAAATGAAGACAGACATTCAAAATCAAAGAACATTTGGGCTAAAATTGCTTATAACTAGACAATCGTTGTGCTGTAAAATAATCAGTCCTAAATCATTTTGTGATTTTAAAAAGGACAAACTGAAACATACAAGGAACACACTACGCCGAGAAATAGAGAAAGATATGAGAAGAATGAACAAAAACTGGACAGAACTGGAAAGGTAACCCAAGGACAGAGTTAGTTGGAGGTGGGCCGCCTATGCTCCATTGAGGGTAACAGGCGTAAGTAAGTAAGTAAGTGAGTAAGTATAAATTTATACACAGATTTGACTGGAAAAAATTGTAAACGGGCTTTCAGTATCTGTGATTTTTCATAACTCCAACTAGGAACACTCTGGGGCTTCTACTTATCTCCAGCCCGAAAAAAGGAGAAAGGTTGGCCTTCGAGTTGGCGACCCCTTCCCACAAAAAAACCAACTAACTAAAAAAAGCTAACCAGTAAACATAATTCAAAACATTTTAACTCTGCTCTGGGAGTTAGAAGGTCTTCTTTCAGAAGAATTATGAATTCTCATGATGAAAGACGAGTTCCTTCGGGATTCCCCTTCTCACAACCAGGACAACCATTCTTTTAGGTACATGGAATGTTCGTACATTGTGGGAGACTGTCCAAAATTGGTGCGGATTTGAAAAGACACAACCTGGAGGTGTTTGAATTCAGTGAAACATATTGGATGCAGGTTCGACAACTAAGACTAGCTTTAGGAGATGCTTTTATACTCCAGCAACGATGAAGAAAATGCCTCACACACACAAGCAGTTGCATATATGCTGTCCAAACAAACACAAAAGGCACTGATAGGATGAGAATCCCATTGACCCAGGGTCACCAAACCATCATTCTAAACAAAGGAAGAGGACATTACAATAAACCCCATCCAATGATATGCACCTACCAAATACTACAATGACGACGTTAAAGATCAATTCTACGAAAGGCTGCAGTCAGTCATCGACAGATGCTCACTATTGTGATGGGAGACCTAAATGCCGAGATTGACATGGACAGTATTGAATATGAAGACATCATGGGAAGACATGGACTGGGAGAAAGGAGCGAAAATGTTCAGAGGTTTGCAAACCTATGTGCCTTCAATAAACTGGTCATTGGCGGTACAATATTCCCACACAAACGCATACTCAAAGCTACATGGATTTCACCAGATCACACTACTCAGAACTAAATCGACCATATCTGCATCAAACAAATGCCCAGAAGGACCATGGATGATGTGAGAACCAAGAGATGAGCTGACGTAGCCTCAGATTATCACTTGCTGGTCGCCGAAATGAAATTGAAACTCAAGAACCCCTGGACACTGGGGCGGACAACATTACAGAAGTTTAATACGGCCTTTCTTCGGGATACTGCCGAGCTCAACTAATTCAAGATAGCTCCCAGCAATATGTTCCATGCCTTGCACGATCAACTCAATGGAAAGGAAATTCAACAAGAGGAAGAGATAAGAAGGCAGCAGTCAGCATCAGCCGAGTAAGAGCAGAGAAATTCAAGGCACAGTCTGAATACACAGTGAAAAGTAAGAAAGGCAAAGTAATCAGCGAGAGTGAAGAACAGCGAAATACATGGGTAGAGCACTATTTTAGGAACTCTTGAATCGATCTGTTCCACTGAGCTCACATAACATCGAGGCAGCATCCGTGAACCTCCCAATAGATGTTGGCGCACCAACAATTGAAGAGATACGTATGGCTATCAGACAAATCAAGAGCGCCTTAAGCAGCGGGACCAGACAACATTCTATCAGCGGCAATGAAAGCAGACGCGGCAGCGATTTCAAAACTATCCAGCTTTCTCATCAACAGGATTTGGGATGAAAAGCAAGTACCAACAGACTGGAAACAAGCATACCTCATCAAACTACCAAAGAAAGGCGATATCGGCATGTGTGAGAACTACAGAGGCATCTTTCTTTTCTCAATACCAGGCAAAGTCTTCAACAAGGTATTGTTAAACAGAATGAATGACCCCATACGTAGAATCCATTTTGAAGGCTTTGTTTTGGGAAAATCCCTCCATGTATGTACTGTTATATGTTCTTACCGACTCTTACTGTGCTACATTTTGGTGGTCTGTTTAATCCCATTCTGGGATGTTAATATTTGTATTTTGTTATAATTTCTATTTTTCTACCTTTATTGGAGTTTCTATGTTTTCTACTGAACTGTATTATGTTGTTTAAGTTGATACTTAATTATGGCTTCAGCCATATCGGATTTGATACTTTGGCGGGTGAATTGTGCATCTGGATTGGAAGGGTGCAATTTTGGACCTAAACGGAAGCATTCTTCTACGATTGGAAACACATTGTGTTATTTTTGACGGAAAACAGTGCAATATTGTTTAGGTAATTATTGGTACTTTTTGATGAATAATAGAACTGTTCATTACCCAGATAAATTGCTTTCTATTTGGATTAACTGGGCAGAGTGCGTATCTAAACATCTAGAACTGTTTTTACGAATTCAGAATCCAATCTGAATCTTACACCATAGACACCCAACAGGCTGGATCTCGTAACGATTGATCGTGTACCGACCAAATTGCAGCATTACGGATCATTGTGGAACAATCAGTTGAATGGAACTAACCACTCTACATCAACTTCATTGACTAAGAGAAAGCATTCGATTGGGTGAGCAGGACAACACTGTGGAGACTTCTTCGACACTACGGCGTGCCGGTGTCAGACAAGGTTGCTTACTCTCTTGCTATCTCTTTCTCCTGTTGGTCAACTGACGTCAGCACCTGAAGGGAAGCACAGTATGCAGTGAACATCCAGAATGCAGCTGGGCGAACTGGACATCACAGATGATCTGGCTCTTCTGCCGCACACGCAACAACAAATGCGACAAAAGACGACTAGTGTAGCGGAAGCCTCAAAACTAGCAGGTCTCAACATACACAAAGAGAAAAGCAGGATTCTCCGATGCGACACTAGATGCACCAACCAAATCATTATTGATTGAGATGACTTGGAAGACATAAAAACCTTCAGATATCTAGTCAGCGTCATTGACGAGGAAGGAGGATCTGATGCAGATGTGAATGTGCGTACCGGAAGAGCAAGGGCTGCATTTCTGCAATTTAAGAACACTTAGAACTCCAAACAACTATCAATCAACACCAACAGTACTCATTGCAAAATTCAAGACAGTTCAATTGAAAGGAGTAAAAGGTTGGAGAATCACGAGACCCACTATCCAGAAAATACAAGAATTTATTAACAGTCGCCTACAAAAGGAATTCGGATCATTTTGCCAGACACTGTCAGCAACAACCTACAGTACGAGAGAACAAACCAGATTCCAGAGCAGGAGAAAATCAGGAAGAAGCGGTGGAAGTGGATAGGACACACATGACGGAAAGCACACAAGTACCTCACAGGACAAGCCCTCACTTTTAACCCTCAAGGTCAAAGGAAAGGAGGAAGGCATAGGAACACATTACCCCGAGAAATGAAGACGTACATGAGAAGGATGGAAAAAAGTTAGACGGAACTGGAGAGGGAAGGCAAGCCTTTCCTTCAGTTATCATTATTGCACATTGACGGATTCATTTAACTATTCTATCAGTTATTTATTAAGTAACATGACAGTATTTCAGATTTTCTAGAGGCTTACGACAAGCATTCGTGGAAAAATCGGCCAAAGCATTCGAGGGTATTCTTCCCAAACTGAAAGCTTCATCGTCGAATTTACCCCCCAAAAAGACGAAATTTCATACCTGTGGGATCCGTTTTGAAGGCTTTGTTTGTGAAAATCCGCCCATGTATGTATTTTTAATTCGTTCTTATTGATTCCTTCAGTTGCACATTTTGTTAGGCTGTTCGATTCCATTTTGTGATGATAATAATTGCGTTTTATTATAGTTTCTATTTCTTTTGCATTTACTGAATTTCTGTGTTTCTTTCTAAACTGCATTTATGTTGTTTAAGCTGATACTTAGTCATAGCGACAGCCATATTGATTTGCGCCTCCTTCGATTGGGTTGCTTGTATTAACTGGAGTTGAGCATTTTGATTATGAAGTGAAACACCCTTCCAGAATAAGAAGCACTCTGTGTTATAAGGCGACCAAATATTATCCGTCGAACGAATCCGATCTATCCACAAGAGATAGAATAACATTTATTTGTTGCTGTTGATTTGAATAACTGAACAATTGTTGGTGGAATATCTGAGTGGTAATGTTGTTTAGGTAATGAGGTACATTTATATTTATGATGAATATTAGGACCGTTGTTTACCCAAATCACGTGTTTTGGATCTAAACTGTGCAAGACGCGTATCTAAACTTCCTAAACAGTTATCCCTCTGTCCAAACCTCATTTTGGATCTTACGACACCGTTTCAAATACGTGGGTCGAGAGTAGTAGTTCACTCCGTTACAACCTATTTTTTCTGTGACAATCACATAGGTATCACTTACCTGCAGGCTTGACTATCTTCATAATACTTCGTCTCTTAAATACTACTTCAATTTTTTAAAAAAGACAGAAAGCATTCATTTGTGCTGTAGTGAGTGCTTTCATGTCT